TTTTAAAAAGTGGCCCCCCCCCCCCCCCCCCCCCCATATTTCAAGTACCTATAACTACATTTTAAAAAGGCTTTTCTACTTCCTGATGTTTGGTTTTTGCTACATGCCTTTCTGTCCCATATAGGAAATAGATCATTGCACGGTGCTGGTATTCTCTAATAAAATACCCACCTGAGGATGAATTGGGAGATGTTTTATTTGCCTGCCCATTAACTTCCTTCATCAGCTCTGCTTCCATTGCTTGCCCGTTTCTGTGCGCACTGCGACACAAGCTCTTGATCTTCCAGTGTTTCTTAGAGGATTGTGTACCACTTTCGCCCTCTTCCTTCCTGAGCCTGTGTCGTGGGAAGTTGTTTTGCTCCCCTCTTAGCCTATTTGAGGTGAAGCCTGGGCAGAGCCTCCTTTGTCATGGCTATTGGCTGTGTGGACTCGGGCGGCTGGTACTTCTGTGTTGCACTGAGTTCACTTTGAAAGCATTCCCATCAGTAATAACCATGGCTCCCTTTGATGCCGTGGCTTTTTGATTAGCTGGCTCCCACCTCACTTTTAGTTAATCAGAAAAAACGTGAGGGAGTAACACCATTTTGTATCAAGGAACCTTGAAAGCTGTTTCCGGGTCTGCCCTGGAGTCTCCTTGTTCTCAGCCCAGCCCCTGCACGGCTCACGTCTGTCTTCCTAACCTTCCGTGCGCTCTGTCTGCGGAATCGTAGTGTGTTACGAGCCTGACATGTCGGTAGGGGCTCAGTTGACAGGATTAGGTTGTCATTCTGTGATCCTAGGAAGACAGGACACAGAGGGCCCTCGTGTGTTAGGGGGATGTTTATGAAGCACCGAGCTGTACATCCTTTTAAGCAGAATGTAAAATCCTCGAACATGCAGGTTCATTAAGTTAGTTGGGAATTCTTTTATCTATTTCAGTTAACAAAGCTTTTAGCAAAAGGAAAGGTATTTGAACCGCAGAACAGAAATTTCTCCTGCAGTGAGAGTCATCTAATTGGGTTTTACTTTTTAAATCAGACACAAAAACATGGAAGGTTCAGGAGTGTTCTTTCGGGTTTCATTGTTAGTGATGAAATGTGGCAGTTAGCTTATTATTCACGGCTTCTGTCCTGGTAGAAATGACTACAGGTAGAAAGAGTGATTCTGTGGCAGTTAAACATGGGTTTTCTACTTTTAAATATCTTTATTGCATGTGCGCATGCATGCATGCATGCATTTTTCTTTAAAAAAGTGTGTGTAAATATTTTGTTATTAGAAGAAAGCCTTCTTACTATTTTATCCTTAAGCATAACATTTCCAGTCTGCCACTTTAACCCTTAAAAATGAAGCACTACCAATCAATCTTTCTGGTCTGCATGTAATTGCCTGAAGCTAAAATAAAGCTCTTTCGCAGCCAGTTACAGTAGAAATGAGTTAATATATTGGCAACAGAATAACCATCAGCCATCAGCCGTTAGCTGTTTACTAATGAACTCCCAGATGAATGAAAAAATTTCAGAGTCAGTGTTTTACTTCAGGCTGTACATGAACTTAACACTTCAGTTGTAGAAAGCAACTTCTATGCTATACAAATAAATATAGGGGGCAAAAGGAGGTTTACAGTTGCTCATATGGAAAATAATACGATGATAAATAAATAATAATGCAGGAATAAACTGTGTTTCCTGTACAGCTGTAAACCCCTTTTGTCCACCCTGTACTGGTGCTGCTGTCAATAGGCTTTGGGCTGGGAGATGTTTGGTGCTCACTAATAGATCCAAATCTTGGTAGTAAAGGTGCTTTTGCATGGCATCAGGTAGAGCCTGATCTTGAAATAATCTTTTCTTTGTTTTCTTGCTTGCTTTGTTTTCCTTTTTTGTTAATCCTCACTGGAGGATATTTTTCCTATTGCCTTTTTTTAGAGAGTGGAAGGGAGGGAGGAAGGAAGAGAGAAACATCAAGTGAGAGAGACACATCAATTGGTTGCCTCCTGCATGCACCCTGACCTGGGCCGGGATTGAACCTGTAAACCAGGTATGTGCTCTTGATGGGGAATCGAATGCGAGATGCCTCAGTGCTCAGGCTGATGCTCTAACCACTGAGAACACTGGTCAGGGCTGGAAATAATCTTATACTGAATTTTATGATTCAGTTTTATTTACAAATAATTGCAAGTATTGAAAACACTTGGGAAGAATTAGCTTACAGAAAGAAAAATATCCTCTTTTCAGACAAGAACAATAGGTTTATAAAAGACTGATATTCACACTCTTATTCTTCAGTACTAATGTCATCCTAAGAAAAGGATGTCAAAAAAGTATGGAACAAAAATGTGTCACTAAATATAATAAAATTATGGAGCATAAGATTGTCACTACAGTGTAGGGAAAAAAATCACATAACGTACTTTGGGGAATGTAAATAGTTTAAAAAAAGAAACTGCCAAGTTATGACACCAGATGAGAAAGAGCTCCCTCAGCTTATTGACAGTTCATATATTATAACAGAGGGGGTAGCTTTGAAACCCAGTGTGCAGAAGTATCCCTTTTAGACTACACAGAACACATTCACTTGCTTTTTAATTTCTCCTATTTAGAGGTGGCAAAGATTAAGAACTGCTGAAATGATTACATGGGAAGTAGTAATGGGCAAACCGAACTGGGTCTCCAGTATGGCCAAGTAGTAGTTAAAAATAACTGTTGTAGAGCTCTTCCCTCCACCAGTGTTGATTCTCACAGATGCACACAGCAGAGCGGGCAGGATCAGTCCCGGGGTCCAGGTCAGTCCCCTGATTGATAGGCCAGGGCTTGAGGCTCTGCTTTTTGGCTTGTACTGTTTCTTTTACAACAAAAAAATGTGCCTGATATCGAAGAGGAACTTTGATAAACACAAACACACACACACACACATTTAAAAAAATTCACAAGTGTATTAAAAAGTTAAATCATGTGAACATGTGGTATGTGGTTCAGCAATAGATAAGGGGTTCTTGGAATTTGTTTTCTCTGCACACTATTCAGCCATGGTTATGAAATCACTGGTAAAATAGAGGCAGACATCTGTGGTTAGTAGATATATGTACTCTGAATTTCAAGTGGTGTGTGTGTTTGTGCAAGAGAGAGAGAGAAACTAAGTTTTTTATTTTCTTTTTCTCTATTCAGGTTTCAGCAAGCAGATGGTGGAAATTCTCAACAAACACAATATTCAGTTTAGCAGTTTTGATATCTTCTCAGATGAAGAAGTTCGTCAGGGCCTCAAAACCTATTCTAATTGGCCCACCTACCCCCAGCTCTATGTGTCTGGCGAACTCATAGGAGGACTCGACATAGTGAAGGTTAGAATTGGGAAGGTGTACTGGTACCGAGTTTTCATTTAGAGCGCAGTTTCTTGAGAGCTGGACTAGGTCCAAAGAGTAAGTTTCTTAAGAACCTCTCCATTTAGCAGGCTCAGTCTGGAACCTATGCAGGGCATTTCTGATGAGATGACTGTGACTGGCATTCTGTGTTAGGGTGTGGCCAGGATTTACCTGCAAATGCTTCCTTCAGCTTAACCTGTGTTTATTTCAGGAGCTGGAAGCATCTGAAGAACTAGATACAATTTGCCCCAAAGCCCCCAAATTAGAGGAAAGGTAAGTCTTTTAAGAGTTTCAAATAGTCTGTCGTTATTTTTAAAAATATTTTTAAAATTCTCAGCCTTTGCATTGCCTTTCTGTACAGAAATCAGAGATTTGTCTCATATGCCAAGTTCATCATTCTGCTGTTTGCAGTCAGACAAGTCATGCTCACTCAGGAAGGTGTGATTTGGACTGGGGAGTGTTGTGTGTCACTTTAATGACTAAGTGGAGGTTATTCTTTGTTTTTATAGAAATGTTATTGCTACAATGGGATGGGCACGTTGTAGTTGTCTCTGCATTTCTGAGCCAGGATCCAGCTGTCTCTTCATTTGCTCTCTGTTGAATGCACCTGAATCTCTGTGGTCAGACACCAAGGGATGGCTGGCTAGAATTATGTCGGAATTAAGTTCAGTGTATTTTGAGTAACAATTTAAAGGGCTCCTGGGAGGAAAAGTGCAGGAGCCAGAGTTCCTGGGCTTGGTGACATCTGTTGGGGGGGTGGGGGGGTGGACAGAGGGACCTGTTTTGCTTCCCTGGATGCAGGTGGTGGTTACTAGGTGAGAGATTGGGATCAGCATCATGTCGTTTCTTACTGTTTTTTGTTTGTTTATTTTGAGAATTAGCTAATCGCACTCTGTTGAAAGTGTACACGACAGCTTTGTGCGTGATTTGTGGTTCCATTTGTGACAACTTTATTCTGTGAGGAGATTTGGAGCCACCACGAAGGATCCAGAGAACCAGGGGCAGGAGGAGAACATGGTGATGGGCCACCACGGGGCCTAGAGGGTCTTCCGCAGCCACTGTCCCCACACTGACTGTTCCTGAGATCTGTTTCTAGGCTCTAGGCTAATATGCAGATGGTGCGCATTCTGACAGCAAGTTAGCTCCTGGTGCTTGAAAGATTGTGCGAAATATTCAGCTGAAGTTAAGACGAGAGCATTTGATTTTAGCAGCTGGTGTTAGTGGTGTTCCAAGACGTAGTGCTCCCCTCAGGGGTGGCCTTGTGGGCACTGAGCGTGCGGAGCCCTGCGCAGCCTCAGGAGGAAGGAGACATGCAGGATGGAGTGCTGGAGGTTCCGGATGGGCCCCTTATCGAACAAGTCCTTATTGAACTGGGTATTATTATTTTTTTTAGAACTGTGAGTTGATGGGCTTAAATTGCAACTTGAAGGAACATTCTTTGCCTTAAAAAGCCACATTGTGTTTTACAGTGGCTTAGGGAGAGAGTGAAATAAAGGGAAATGTCAATGCATTTGCTTGTTTAATGCCATTCAGAGCTGCGAACCATCATCCTGCTATCCCTCAGCATGCACGTTGCTCCTGAAGCGCAGCGAAAGTGGGGTTTAATAATTGAGCTGAGCCGTTTCATATCAATTTTCTCTCCTTAGGCTCAAAGTACTGACAAATAAAGCTTCTGTGATGCTCTTTATGAAAGGAAACAAACAGGTAAAGAACTCAAAAATGGTTTTACTTGTAATTTCTTTTGATGGTAACATGTGCAGCAAGGGGACACTTACCGGCTTTTTCCCAGCGTTGGCTAATGGAGCCGCGGAGGCACCAGGAAGTTATCTGGGCCTAATTGGTGCTTGTGGACACCAGACCCAGTCATCTGCATGTTCTGACTGTCCTGGCATCGCACGCCGTGGGGTGTGTTTCTTTCTGCTGTCAGACTGTCAGCTCACAGGTCAGCAGTGTTCTCACTTCCTGGTCTGTGAGTTGCTGTCGGGACCATGACTTAGTCCACAGAGTGCAGTCTGGTCACTGCTTCCTGGGTCCAGGAACCTCATGGGTCTCAGGTTTGCGGCTTTAGGCCATCCTGGAAGTGTAACCCCTGCTGCCGCCTGTGTGCTCAGTGCTTGTGTGATGAATGAGTGAAATCGTTTCGGCATTTTTTTTCTTTTCTGTAACTGCATATTCCTATTTTTCTACAAAGAGAGTTCTTAGTGTTCATCAAATCCTCAAAGGGTCTGCCCCTCACTGGCTAAGAACCACTGACGCATCCGACTTCCCTCTAAATGCTGTTTCGCTGGGTGGTTCCTCTGGTGTCAGGGTGCTTGTCACTTGTGGCAGGTGGTTCTTGGAGCTGCTCTGCCGTCACTTCACAGAGCTTCGCCTTCCCTTGGTGCACAGCCTGGTGCCGCCCGCACAGCGTCTGCGAGCACGTGGTCGCCATCACTGTGGAGTTAATATAGCTAATACAGTGACACCAACTATCTTACATAGGAATCAGTTCATACAACTGTTATAATGAAAGCAGGACAACTAGGAAAGTGGTCAGATAAATTCCAACATGTGATCCCTGGATGAGGACCTAGACTCTTTGACTGGTCCACTGTATTTATGAAAACAAAATAGAGGAAGCTAGTAATTCCCAGTAGTGAAAAGCCATCTTTTCTTTTTGGTGATTATTTTTATTCTCAAAACACTTTTTTCCCCCCCTGGAAGCCCAGACAGTATTCATGCATTTTGGGAACATAATTATTAGTGCCATTAAGGTGTTTGTGTGGCCCCAAGTCTTCCCTCAGGATTGAGGGGATTTGAGATTCTGTGCATGAAAAATGTGTAAGATTTCCATAACCTGAAAAAAGTTTGGAACAGGAAGAGGATGATGATGGCGAAAGGTTGAGTATTGAGATGGTCTCCGTGAGTGACATCTCAGGAGAGCGTGGGGGGTTTACTCGAGGGTCTTCTGACCACAAGATAGAAGCTACTAGACACACGCCCTCCCCTTGGTTACAGACCGAAGTGAATCTGTGGGGCGGGGGAGGGTGCGTTTGAGCCGATGTCTCCAGGTCAGTACTGGAGGTGCCCCTGAGCCCTCACCCGTCTGACTGCCCTGTGATGTGAAGGGCCCTGAGGCTCGTCCTCACCCACCAGCTGTCCCAGGACAGAGCGTGAGGGACAGCCATGCCGTGGGCTGTGGGCCGTGGGCTGTGGGGAAATGCCATGCATCTTCACTTTTTCTCTCTGCATTTAGGAAGCTAAGTGTGGATTCAGCAAACAGATTCTGGAAATACTAAATAGTACTGGGTAAGTCAGTCTTACTTTTAAATGGTCTGTTTAAGAAGTTCTAACTTTTCAGTTATATCTAAATCCATGCATTTTTATCTAGTATTGTTGTTATACTGGTTTGTGAATGCTTTAAGTTAGATTACAACAGAATGTTCTGGCCAATGTCAAACTCCTGGTAACATTTCTCAGGCAACAATGAAATAACTATTTGTCTACTTTCCCAGAGGAAAGTGAATAACTGAGTTCTTACCAGGCATAAAGATATTTTGGAGAAAGTGAATTATGGGTGTTTTAATTTTCTTTAAAAACATTTTAGTGCCTAAATCGTCCACAGAGCAGATGGGGTAAGTATTCAGGTCGATTTATGGATCTGAGGAGGAGGGTAAATTACATGCAAGGTCCTTGCTTTTCATCTGCTCAGTGATAAGCTGTCAGGTGAGAAAATTGTGATTGATTTTTATGGTTAAAAACAACCACTTTTATATGTCAATTATACCTCAATTTAAAAAATTAAAACAAAACCACTTGGAGATATTTACACATGTTTTATAGAGTTTGTCATGTGTTTTTGCTTATTTTTTTTATTTCACAATTGCTTTTTAATATACGTTTTCTAACCATAGCTTTAAATAGATGAGGCAGCCCTATGAAATTATAGGGAAAGTAATCTTCGAAATAATTTAGACATTCTTGGGGAGAGTTGAAATAGTCAAATAGTACAGGTTTATGTACAATTTTAGGGACATAAAAAGAAAAAGGATAGATTTCTTAAAATGATTGTGACATTTCACAGAGCAGAGTCTGGTCAGCCTGTCCTGTGTGTTGAGCCTCCTGTTCACTCTGCGGAGGATGGAGGACAGCTGGCTTGGTCTTGGTCCTTATTTTTATGGCCCTTCCTCTGTCTGCCCTCGGCCACAGCTCCACGGAGACACACTCAGTCCACTCCTTCCTGGCCGCAGCCTATCCCTGGGCGCCCTCTGCTTGTTCATGAGCCAGGACATGACAGCTCGCAGACTTGGGAAGGGCTCCCTGCTTTCTGTCCTGTATCTGTGCAGTCCAGACCGGACGGGAGGGCAGTTCTTGGGGGGCTGGGCTTCCGAGGGAGACAGTGTCCCACGACCCGAGCCTTGGTAAACAGGATGGCGCTGCGGTGGGCGCCCGTGGAGCCTCTGCGGCTCTGTAGCGGGAACACACCGTGAACTTGGGGGGTCACGGCGTGGAGAAAGCAAGCCCGGCTCTTTGTTCTTTCTCCTCTGATCTCGCGCTTGTCTTTTCCTTGCTAGTCCAGATGAACTCGCCGCAAGGGCTGAGTCCCAGGTGCACGTTGAGGTGTGAATGGTCCCTTACAAAGAACTGCTGGGACCCTCAGGCCCATGCGCCTGGGCCCCGGGCTCCCTAGGTCCCTGACAGGTGGCCTGTCACTCGCCCTTTTTATCAGACTGTTCAGCTGAAGATCTGCCTCCCTTAGTTCACCCTGAAGGGAGACTTACCTCGTGTAGGTCCTTTTTGATTCCCTTTTGCTCTTTCAAACATCTCTTTTCTCGTACTTGCTGCTGGTTAATCCTGTCGTCTTTTTTGAGTATTTCTGTGCCATGGATAGTTTTCTTGGGAACTTGTTGACCAAGTAACCAAGGTTTCCCTTGAGGGTGGTCTCAGATTTTGTATATGGCGTTTTCTTTGGCCAGTTTTTGGACCTACACATAGGACCCTCACGCCTGGCCACACGCCTGGCCTCACGCTGACTGATTCCCTGACCACCACGCAGGTAAAGCAGAGCCCCGTCCTGGAGTCAGTCCATTCCCATGTCGCAAGGCGGCATTCGCTGGCAGTGAGGGTGTCCTGGCTGGTGAGTCCCAGCAGCTCCGGCCGTGGCCTGCGGCATCTGAATGTTTCTCTTGCCCTTTAGGAGAAGGTCTGCTGGCCCCTGTGTAACCTCGTATTGCCTAGAGAAAAATTCAGACACGTTTGTGTCTTGGCATGACTTAGTCTGAATAGTACCCGACGGAGTAAGAAGTAAAATCATTTCCGTTTTTCTACAGTAAATTTTGTTGGCACCAAAATGGTTGATTTTCTTGACTATTTTAAAAACACAAAGTAGGTTTACAATTTCTGTTTAGAACTGAATTGTCTGTTAAAACGTTTTCTCCTGTTGCAGTGTTGAATATGAGACGTTTGACATATTGGAGGATGAGGAGGTAAGTTCTGTCTTTATGTCCTTGGTCTCTGCGTCCCTTGCGCTGAGGGCAGGTGTCAGGGTTCCTGCTGTTTTCGTAGGTGCGGCAGGGACTGAAGACCTTCTCCAACTGGCCCACGTACCCGCAGCTGTATGTGAAAGGGGAGCTGGTCGGAGGGCTGGACATCGTTAAGGTGAGTCCCGCGCACCGGCGCCCTAAGACGGGAACATGAGAGTTCCGTTTCGAACAGGAACTCTGGGCTGTCCTGGCCGCCTTGCTCTTCCGGCCTCACGTCCAGGCCCTTGTACACCATGTTACCCTGTCTGGGCCCTCGTATCTGGTCATCTCCCCGTCACTGCCCTGTCAGACCGTCCTCACCGCTCACCTGAGCCCCAGGCTCTGCCTCACGGTGGGGCCTGACCCGACACTGGCTGCTGCTCCGGGAGCCCCTGCAGCTCCTGAGCGAGGCCGCCAAGCCCAGTCTGGAGCGTGGTGCTCAGAGCAGCTCACACCGCGGCCGTGCTCCAGATGCAGCTTCCTCCCGCTGCACTGAGTCTGTGGGACTTCCCTGCGTGTTTTCAGCTTTTCCTCACGGCCGCCTCTGCTTTGGGGGGCCTCGCACGTTCCATAGTTCAGTCTGTTCTTTGTATCCATTAGGGTTGCTCTTGTCTGGGAATCACCTAGACCCATGGTCGGCAAACTGGCCTCTTGAGTGTGGCTCTTCCTAAGCCTTAGGAGTACCCTAATTAAGTTAATAACAATGTACCTACCTATATAGTTTAAGTGTAAAAAATTTGGCTCTCAAAAGAAATTTCAGTCGTTGTACTGTTGATATTTGGCTCTGTTGACTAATGAGTTTGCCGACCACTGACCTAGAGTATTCCAGCTAGAAATGTTTGCTTCTGCTCCTGAAGTCCTTTAGACTCAATGTGCCTTTAGACTCACATTGTTATAATTATTCTACTACTAGAGGCCCGATGCACGAAATTCGTGGAAGAGTCGGCCTTCGCAGCCGCGGCTGCCTGGATCCTTCCCTCGCAGCCGCCCTGGCTTCACCCTGGAAGGACATCCGGTCTGATTAGCATATTGCGCTTTTATCATTGTAGATTTTCTCATGTTACTCTGTTCTGCCTCACTCACATGCTCTTGGTGACAACAGGCCGTAGGCAGGAGGCCTGAGTCGCAGTGCCAGCCGGCCCTGTGGTCACTGCCTAGTTTCCTGAAGGGAAACCACAGGATTGCTTAGGCCAGGCCAGGTCCCCGGGTCTCAGATGCTAGAAAATCGGTTCCTTCTCAGACTGTGAGCACGTGTCAAGGGCCCACTGTTTCTTACATGTCTTCAGGGATTTGCTCCTTCTTTGTTGGCTTTAAACTCTCGTTGAATTTTCACTGGCCATGGCTTTTCTTCTAGAATTTAAAGTCTAGAAGTGCGATGGCACCTGTGTGCTGCAGACACTACTGAGGAGCTGACACCCCACACTGGCCCCCCTGTGTGACGGTGCTGGAGGGGGCGGCAGTGGTGGGTATGGCAGGGCCTGAGCAGGGGCGTGGCCAGGCCGCGAGCTGCTCCTGCGCCCAGGCCGTCCTCTGCCTGGACTTCCTCTGAGGTCACATCTCTGGCTTAGGTGGAAGGCAAGTAGTAAGTGATACTGCTTCTAGTTACGTTGGAGAACGAAAGCTGTAAAGCCACACTTTGTAACGTGAAGGAATCCGAGCAGGGCCTGCGTGGCGTCAGTGCTGTGGTGGAAGGTTCTATAGGCCGGCCTTTGCGTGCAGAGGCTGCAGGCTTTCGGGTTTGACATCACACTTTCAGGCGAGCCAGGGAGGCATGTTTCTGCTAAACTGTCTACTCCTGGTGGGAAAAAGGTCTACCTTAGTAGCTTTTGAATAGCCCTGAAGCAACAGAAACAGATCTGCATCTGTTATTTTATACAGGGATTTTATTTTTGTAAAACACAGTCTTCAGACCCCAAATTCTCTCGAGCCTGTTCTTGTCTGAATGTTTTATAGCCAGTACCTTAGCCATCGGTAACTCTTGGGAAGATGCAATCAATAAATCTCATTTAATTCTGCAGCTGAGCTGCACGGCAGCTTCTAGGTCTGCAACAGGGTGTTGGCCATATGCCTTGATGCTCACCTGCGGGAACATAGGAGTTTGGGGATTTGTTCTTTGGGAAGATAACTGGGAGCAGCTCCCGGATCGGCATTTTGGTGTGTTTCTTGCAGGGCGGGGCTCTTCATCTATAGGTTAGTTAACACCGGGGTTACGTTCCCAGGGGGTCTGTTCTGGCCTCTTTGGGAGCAGAGTGCTTGCTTCTCTGATAAATGGGTGATTGACTATATGGACTAGTGGTCAGTGACCCAGTCAGTCTCACGTCCTGACCATCTTAGCTGCTGTGCAGTGTGGACTCAGTGAGTGCGTCTCAGCTCTGAGGGGTCCACTCTGGAGAGTGTGTGGAGTCCGAGCATTTAGACCTGGTCGCCCTTAAACTGCCCCTGAGGACAGCTGCTGTGCCAGGACTCCCGCCGGGCCAGCGCACTGCTCTAGTGCCGCAGCCTGAGAGAGGCCGTCCCGTCAGGGGGTCACAGGCCTGGGGAAGTAGGCGAGCTGTCTGCCATGTCAGCCAGGACGTCCTCCATCCGATCTACCCGAGGGCCTACCCGAGGGCCGCCGGCCTCCTGGGGCGTGAGCTCGGGACAGCCCGCGGAGCTTTGGTGCAGCAGGGCAGCTGCTGTTCTGTGGGGGTGGATCCCAAGGCACCGCTGCCGGCGGCTGAGAGCGTGGGACAGGATCTCCCCTCCCAGGTCTAACCCACGAGGAGCTCGCCTGGGGCTATTGATTGGTGTTCAGGCTGCTTCCTAAGAACCTGGCATGTTCCATCAAATTAAACTAGAAAACTTGATCCTTCGGTCACACTTTAAACTTGATGGCTGTGTTCCAGCTTTTCTGGAGATTTCTGCAGCACGTGCTGGTTGCTGGCCTTTACGCTGTATTTACACGGCAGTGCGGTGGCTT